CTTTCCCCTTTCCCCTTTCCCCAATCCCCTTTCCCCTTTCCCCTTTCCCCTTTCCCCTTCCCCCTTTCCCCTTTCCCTTTTCTTTTCCTTTCCTTCCTTTCTTTTCTGGACTGACTGAGGTTTTCTGATCAGTGAGCTAAGCAGGGACTGGAGTTATGTTCCCAGTGGGCCCATGTCTATGTCTCCTACACAGGGTACAGTTTATATAGTTTATTCATTAGGCCCAGAGCTGTGAATGGAATGTTTTTAGGCTTGCTATTGTTTTACAATATTTAAGAGTTTTTCAAAGTAGGAAACACATTTTATATTCAGTCTTTAGCTCCAGGGATCTTCCTCTCTCCAGTGTCTTGTTTATATAGGAGAAACATTTAATTATATTATCTTATTATAATGGTTCTTTATTTATAAACGCAGTTGAAATGTATCACTTTTCAGTCTCTGGGATTTTGTAGTAAGCTCTGTAGTGAAGTGGTTTGTAGTGGAAGTGCTCTCTGGGATTTGTTCACTCTCTTGATTGCATTACATTGACTTGAGTAGCGTTCAGTGTCCTTTCTTACAGCTGGGCATGAGGTCACCCTTACTTTTAAAGTCTTTCTCATCAGGAGCATTCTCATCCTTTTATGTCTCATTTGAACTCCTTCTGAGAAACTAAGTCTCCCCCCATCCCCGCCCCAGTCTTTGGAACTTTGCTTCGAAGAATATTCTTTTGAACAGATAAATGAATTGTAATCGTATGGCCCTTTAAAGTTAACGTGACCCTGTCTCTGTATGTGTCTATGCACTATTACCATAGACTTTAGATGTTGTGACATACTAGTATTTTAATAACATACATTTCAAAGGGAAGAAAATATATATGTCTTCTTTTTCTACAATTCAGATGGCAGTTTGAATGCTTATTGCAAGTGAGCATTTTTTCAAGCCTGAAAGTAGATGAAATAAATAAATTAATTCTGTATTCTAATCAAGAGAAATTCTTAGCAGTTGATTTCTCCACAGGCATTACTGAGGGTAATTGTGACTTCCTTGGTGCAGAAAATACAACAACAATGTGAATACAACATGTATGTTCTTTGGGAATTAATGCAGTGACAGTTATACTTTGGGCTTCAGTGGTTTGACATTGGTGGTCTGAAGTGTCCCGTGGCCACTCCCCTTTACCCAGGCTCTTCTGCTCTACCCTGCCCATCTGCACATTCTCTGAACATAACTTTTCACATCGGTAGCCTTTGCAAGTACCATTTCCTCTCAGACTTCTCTCACGAGTCTATTACCATACATTCTGAAACATTTCTCAAGGCGACCTGATGCCCCATTTTGCATTAAATGAGCAAGTGAATGAACACGGGCAGAATGGACAGTGTCCCATGATGCTGAAACCCTTGTTGTCCAGCACAACTGGATTTATAGTCCTGCTTCTTGATGGGTGGCTGTGAACTTGGTCAGGCTGCCTTGCTACTCAGAGACTGAATTTACAGATTTTAAAACAAGGATGATAACTGTTTCTGACTAAAAGATGTATTTGTAGTCCTTTGCCTAGACCATTTGGAATAACAGTCACTGCTGAGAGAACTGTTCTGTGTATTTTATTCAGTTATAATGTGGTTGAATCGTAAATAGATTACATGTTACTATTTTGGATGACAAACCATATGCCTGCTGTGACCATCACCAAAAATTTCTCACAAATCCAATAAATAAAATATTAAAGTTCGCATAATAGGGAAATGGTGATTTGGATTTGTGTTTTAAGAGAAAGATGAAAACCAAGGGACAGACTGAGGGGGGGGGAACAGGGAAAGGAGAGGAGGCGGGAGGAGTAGCAAGGGAGAGACCAGGGCAGGGTTTTCTCAAAGTGAGAATCTTGCAAGTGACTTCTAAAGGGTGGGCATAGGTTGTTTTCAGTGTCCATACTTTTTCCCCGTGGTTAGCAGACATCTTGGAGACAGACTTAAACTTACAGACTGGTGATTTATCCAGAAACTTATTGTATTTAGAATTTCTTGGAATTACTTGGGAGTCAGAAGCAGGAGGATCTCAAATTATTTGTATTTTTAAAGAGTGCCAACACAAAAAGGAAAAGCAGCTTCACTGGGAAAGTTTAAATATCCATCAATTGTCAATTTAGAGTTCACTTAGAGCCACTAGTATGACATTGCCATTGTACCAAGCAGAGTAACCTCTTTGTGCTCTCTGCCTGATGCACTGAGCTTTAAGGCATCATCTCCAGCCTACCTCCACCATCATCAGACAATGAAGATAGAGATCTCAAAGTCCTCCACCATCATCAGACAATGAAGATAGAGATCTCAAAGTCCTAAGCATCCTGAACCTGTAGATAAATGTTTACTTTTGTTTACTGTTTCCACTTAGGTAGTGATGTATGCAAAATTTTTACAGCACAGGGTTGAGTCCACAAGAGTTTAAAAACTCCTAAATTACCTGAGATTTAATGTATCAACGTTTCTCTTCACTTGAACTTTTTGGTTCATCTGTTTTATTGCCTTGCATCCAACAGACACCTGTATTCGCTAACTTTCCTCATCACTTTGACAAAAATGCCCAGAGGAAAGAACTTAAGGAACGATTTATTTTACTCATGGTTTGTCAGAGTACAGTACATGGTGGCAGGGAAGTCCTTGCAGCATGGAGAGCAGTAGACAGCTGTGGCTTCATGTCACCACAGAGCAGGAGTGAAGGGCTTCAAGCCAGGTGCCTATAGGCCTATAGCACCTATAGACTGTGAGCCAGGCCCCATATCTGAAGACTTGCATAATCCCCTCAAAACAGTGCCATCAGTTAGGAACTACGTTCTCAAACCCAGGACTATGTGGGAAAATTTTTACATTGAAACCCCAATGACAGCTTCTTTCACCTATGTGAAGGTTTGATTTATAATTTTTAAGGCCTCCAGGCAAGCTGTCATTGGACACTAGTCTCCTATGACATACAGGCCATCATTTTGATTCTCTGTGTCACATATACAGAGGAGGCAAACAGCCTACCAGCATTGTGAAATAAAGTAAGAGATGCGTAATTAGTTTGTAAATTGTATGGCTGTATATTTAAACAGGGTATTACTCTGCACAAGGATAGGCTGAATTATGCGTAACATCCTCTCTTAAGCCTTCATGTACTTATTCTGCAGTTCCTGTCTCTGGAATGTCCTTCAAATTAATTTCTAGTCATTGCTGGTCTGAAAAGCCTTTATGCACATTTCTTTATACCAATTGTCATACGATATTAAGGCCATTTTTTCACATCTCTGTCTTCTGTGAAATTCAGAGATAAACCTCCATTTTTATTCTGTGCTTGGCATACAGCTAATACTCAGTAAGTGTCTACTGAATTGGATTGGGTTGATTTGAATAATATTATCATTGTGTCTGTCTTGAAGGACAGTGTCCATGGCTATCCTATTATTTAGGATTATCGTCTGGTAACTGACCACCCTTGGAACTTGTACACGCTTTTATGAAAATAGAATTCTGCATCTTTTGAAAGGAAATGATCAGAGTTCCCAGGTATATTTATTTGAAATTTTATCTGATAAAGAGGAAAAGAATGTGAATGTAAGATATTTAAATTTTCAGGCACTTTTATAAAAGTGCCTCATTAGTGCAGTAGGAAATGAGTCAGCCTTTCAAAAATACTTTTATTTGCTGAAGGAGACTTAAGCCTTTGGCTTCCACTCCTCAGGCTCCCTTGACTGACCTGGAGTTTTCTTTTTAACAGCTGGTTTGCCATCCACCCCGTGAGCATGAACAATACCAACCACCTTGTAAACAGCGACAATATGGGCTATGCAGCTTACCTTTTTGAGCAAGAAAAGAACAGAGGCTATCTGCCTGGACAGGTGAGAATGAACAGTGCTGAAATCTTCATCTTGAGTCAGTGAATGGAGTCAACAGTCCATTCAGATTTCAAGAATATGGTGTTCTCATGGACCCCATGAATATGCTTGGAGAGAATGGAGAGAATTCACTGTTTGGGAGGAATGGTTAAGAGTGGTTAAGAGTGATTAAATCCAGTTCTGGAGGACAGGATTTAGTTCTTAGAACCTATATCAGGAGCCTCACAACTACCTACAACTCCAATACCAGGGGATCTGACACCCTCTTCTGGCCTTTATGGGAAATTCTTGTGCAGGGTGTATACACACACACACACACACACACACACACACACACACACAGAGTCACCCATCACCTAGTTCTATCTATCTATCTATCTATCTATCTATCTATCTATCTATCTATCATCTATCTATCTATCTATCTTCTATCTATCTATCTATCTTCTATCTATCTTCTATCTATCTATCTTCTATCTATCTATCTATCTTCTATCTATCTATCTATCTATCTATCTATCTACCTGTCTTTTATCATCTATTTACCTACCTACCAACTTACCTACACCCAGTATGGAAAGAAATGTTTTTTTGTTTTTTGTTTTGTTTTTATAATTTATTTTTTCTCAAATCGTAATTCATTCACACAGGGGTTATAAACACAGAAAGGCAGGATGTGGGGAAGGGAATGACACTGGAGTGTGGGTGTTCAGGGAGAATACAGATATCTTCAGAACCGGGTATCGGCTGGGTGAAGGTTCAGGGGACAATTCACTATGACTCTGCCTACGACTTGCTTGTCCTTATCTAAGTTGGTATTGTCTGCCAAGGATACCTATTTACAAGGTCTATGACTACTCAGGCTTGTAAATTTCCACGAAAGCTGCCTGTTTACATTAGCTTATAGCCATCTGTTTCAATGTTTTTCCACTGAGACCCAAGACTTGGTGGTAGTATACATGTATGACAAGCCTATTGCTGATTTTAGGCCTATGGCTGATTTTAGGACTTCAGTGTGTAAGCAGGGCTGCCCCTGACATCTCCTCCCTTCTCTAAGTATAGAAGGGCTGTGGCAATTCTAAACTTGCGAAGGCAGGAATAGAGGCCTGACCTCCAGTATTTGAAGGGGACCTTGTAATGACTCCAGTCCCCCTGTCGTTGTCCAGTGAGGCATGCTGGCCATACCCATCCCAATGTCTTTTTCCTGGAGAGGGGATAGTTTTGACATCAACCCCTATGCAGTCAGGCTTGTCCCTCAGGGAACCCAGATAGATATTTTTATCTTTTATTTATATTCCCTTGCAGTGCTTAGCCTCGCAGCCTAAGCAAGAATTCAGATCGCCTGTCAGAGGGGGTTCTGGGTGACCCCTCTCTGCTTGGTCTAGGGGCAGAAGTCCTCCCTTTTAGGTTGGGTGGAGATGGGTTTTGCAAACACCCTGTATAAAGTAACAACCTCCTCTTGAGTCTCGTGGTCCTGCATAGCTAACTTATGATAATGTATCTGAGTAGGTTTTGCTACCAAATTATTTACCTGTTGTATCACAGAGTTAGTCTGCCTATTTGAGGGCCAGCGACCAGCAGAAAAAAGCAAAAAGAACCCAAATAATGGTCCCAAGATGGGAGGAAATAGGGTTGACAACCTTGGAGAGGCTGAAAACCAATTCTTGTACCAGCATTCATCTGTCTCTTTCCCTCTCTGAATTTTCTTAGGGCCTTCACTATCTATTTCATGCTCTCTTTAACCCTCCTTGTCTTGTCTATGTAAAGGCAACCTTCTTTAAGGGCTGTACACAGTCAAGAGCTGTACACAGCCTTTTCTATTGTAATAGAGTAAATCAAGTCCAATAAGGATCTTTGCGATTTTAGGAGGTCTCTTCAGACAGCGAAATGAGGATTTCTTCAGATTAGTGATGTCAATCTCTAGCTGTTTGATGTTCTTGTCAGTGGCCCTTCAAAGGTCTGAGTAGTATAAGTTCGGAGGCCAGCATCTGGATTAGAACTTCTAACAGCAGACATCACGGGTGATTCATTTTTACCTGGAAAGGAAAAAGAAGGGGATTCTCAGGGAGATTTCTCTTCCCTGGATGTAAAATAAATTGTTATTCATTGTATTTATGGTTGGGCCTGGCTTTGTGGGGGTATCTATTTTTTTTCATTAATCTTTTTGGTAGCCCGTTAGCTGTGCTTTCTGTGGTATCCGACAGGCATATCAATCCTCAGCCCCATAAGGGAATTGGGTCTGGGCCATTCCCTTTAAGGGTAAGAGGGTCCTTCCCCATATCTGTGGCAAAGTTTTGTTGGTCTCGGTGGTGCCAGAGGCAGTCAGCACTGGATTTGCCATGAGCTTTCAGCTTTAGAGAGATAAAAGTGAACAAGGCATGATGGAGAGTATTTCAGGGGGACTCCTTCTGAGAGGGTACCATTCCCCCTCTTTTGTTTTTAAAGCCAATTTTTCAGAGTAGAAAGAAATGTTTTAAATGATAAAGGTACAATTTGCTCTGCACAGCAGATGTTTCTTGCATTGAAGGATTCATAAATTTATAACCAATTACATAAGAAAGATTAGTTTTTTAAAGATTTATTTATTTATTTTATGTATATGAGTACAATTATAGCAGTCTTTAGACACACCAGAAGAAGGCATCAGATCCCATTACAGATGGTTGTGAGCTACCATGTGGCTGCTGGGAATTGAACTCAGGACCTCTGGAAGAGCAGTCAGTGCTGAGCCATCTCTCTAGCCTAAGAAAGATTAGTTTTATATTTTTTGTAGCATAGTGATAGTTTTTGTTCAAGCTGGTAATATGATACACTGCATTGACATTAATTTTAGTTGTTCTTGCTATTAGAGTAATATGGACCTTCTTAGTGGTAGAAAACCACGAAGAAGATAGACTATGAGACCTTTTTATTGGATCTGGATTTCCTAATGAAACATTCTTTTCAAGGATCTTGATCTGGTATTTTTTTTCAATGAAACCTAAAGGGCTGGAAATATGGCTCAGCAGTTAAGAACACTGGTTGCTTTTTTCGAGGACCCAGGCTCAATTCACAGAACCCGGCAGCTTATAGCCATCTGTAACTCTAGTCTCAGGGAATCCAATGTCCTCTTCTGGCCTCCACAGGTACCAGACATGCACATGGTGCATGGATATACATGCAGGCAAAACACTCACATACATTAAAAAAAACAGTCTAAGCCAGCAGCAACCCTAATCCGTGACATCTCTGACCTTGAAACTTACATAGTAATGAGATCAGAAATCAGGAAGCCTGTTGTCCTACTACAGTAACCTCTTAAACTATGGACGACTAGTGACGACAGATAGACAGGGAGACAAGACACTGTTCTGTTTGGCCACTGGCTGGAAGCATCAGATTCAGAAATATAAAGATGATGAATATCCAAGGCCCTAGTGCAGAATAAAGATTCCATTATATAGACAGTGGCCTCATTAAAACATTCTTCTCTTGTAGACAAATCCCTCCTAAACAAAACCGTATTTTCCGCCCTCTCTTGTTAGCTTGCATTTAACTTTAGCCTATTTTTTCCTGTCTTCCCGCCTCCCCCAGTCTGTTCTTCCCTGCCTCCCTTCCTTTCTCACATTCCTTCTTATCTCTTTCTATTCTATTTTTGAGAAGGCCGTAGATGCTATCTAGGCTAACCTTGAATTTGTAATCCTCCTTTTTTAGCTTCCCAACTTTCAGAATCTCAAGCATGTACCATGATGAAATTTGGGGGAAAGGTTCTCATTTATACATTAAAAAATCCATGGCTTTCTCGAAGAAAACTGGAGATGTTTATTGGGAAACAAGCTGGGCCCAAATGGTTGCCTGGTCTGTCTCTAATCTGGTTTAAGAAAAGAGTTGCTCACAGCAGGCCAGCCAGGGCAGTGAATTTCAAGGGCAAGTACATCTCTGGGCTTCAGGTAAAGCATTCAGACACTAAATGGAGTGCTCCACATTTTGTAACTCAGTGTACTCTGCATTTTGCATCAGTTTGTTTGCATTAGAGGAAGGTATGCTTTTGAAAGGATCCATTGAAAACTTTTGTCAATAATTGGATTATTTTCAGTAATAATAAGTGAATATTGCTGGCAGCATGAGCCTTTTCAGAAATAAAAATTTTCTCAGAATATCATATACCCTCTTATTGTCTGCGTATGATTTTGTCTGAGGAATCAGAGATATGTCAGCTAGTAAAATGCTTCTTGTGCCTGAGTTGAATCCCCAGCATTTGAGCCATACATTGGGCATGCTTCTAATCTCAGTATTAGAGAGTCAATAGCAGGTAGATCCCTTGGGTTCACTGGCTGGTCACCATAGCCTAACCACAAATGACAAGTTTGTGAGAGATTGTGTCTCAAAACCAACCAACCAAAACTGAACGAGGAGGATGGCTTCTGAGGAAAGATTCCTGTGTTTGATCTCTGCACCTATTTATACACGTGTTCATACAGAAGTTTTATGAGTGCATTGAATGTTTATGGTTCTAATGGAAGTCATTACTAAAGAAAATATTAAAGATGGATTTATTTTGACAGGGACCATTCGTAGCAGGCTTTGCTTCATCAAATCTCGGAGATGTGTCACCCAACACTCTTGGCCCACATTGCGTCAACACAGGGGAGTCTTGTGACAATGACAAAAGCACCTGTCCCAACGGTGGGGTAGGTAGTAAGGGCATGCTTACTTCATGTTTGAATATTCATTAATATCATGCAAATGTGTTGTTTCTAAGTATACTCTGGCCTGTTGGACTCTAGTCTCTACTCTTTTTCTGAAGCACCTATGCAGCTTTTCTAAATTTTAAGTGGCTTGTCACAGTTTTTCTTTGTAATGTCAAATGTAGAGGTTGTGTGTAATTCCCTGAACCTGGGCAGCTTAAAATATTTTTACCTTGGAATATTTGAGTTTCTGAGTTTGTACCCAAACCTGTCTACTATGCCATTTTTTACAGATTGTAAACCTATAATTTTTTTCTTTAAAGATTTTTCCCTTTTTTTCCTCTTAAAATTAAAAACTGGTCTTTCTGTAAAACATCAAATAACATGGATGCACAAAATAGTAAAAATACAAAGTCCTTAAGTGTGATAGTTTAATATGAATGTCCTCATAGGCTCATATGTTTGAATGTTTGGTCCCCAGTTGGTGGAACTTTGTGGGAAGGATCAGGAGGTGTGGTCTTTTTGGAGGAGGTGTGTCACTGGGGGTAGACATGGAATTTTCAAAAGATTCATGCCATTTCCTGACTCTTTCTCTGCCTCCTGCTTGTGCATTAAGATGTGAGCTCTCAGCTGCTGTTCCAGGAACCTACCTTTGTGCCCTTAGTCCACCATCATGGACTCTTACATAAACTGTAAAGCCAATGAAAGTCGTTCTTTTATAAGTTGCCTTGGCTGTGGTGTTTTACACAGCAATAGGAAAAGTAACTAGAACATCAAGTACCACTTGTCTCCTTAGTGGTTGCTATTGGAACCCTTCTTCCTGTGTTTGTCTATGCATTCATAAAGCAATTTTTATGACTTATTTACAGATGCTAGGATTTGAATTTTCCATATAATTTCCCTTAGAAATTGTCCTGTATCTACATCCCTGTGGAAATTTTGGAGGTTAGCTATTAAGATTGTACTCTCATTTATTTATTTACCTGCTTTCTCAGAATTCATGAAAGCCTGTTTCAGCTTTCACACAGCAGCAGAAGCTGGCTTCCTGGTTTGCATTTTTAGTGAAGTATCCCCATTGGGTTGCCACTTTTGTTAACTGTTTCTACCTTCCAACCCTACCCAATGAGAAGCAGGGCTTAACAGTTATATTGTTTGTATGTTATTATTTTTAGCTAGAAATTTTCCTTTTTCTTCATTTGTTCATTTCATCAATTTATTGAAATCAAATTAATTTGCAGTACATTTCAAGAATACTTATTAACACCATAATTCATGATGAGATAGTTAAATATATTCACTTGAATAGAATATATGCAGTAGTTTATCAAATGGGCTTGTCTACCCTCTCAGTGGCTTTTTCCATCACTCATGTGTGAACAACTATGGCCCCAACATTCTTTTAAGCCAAGTACACCATTCTTTGACTCTCTGATGGCATAATATGCAAAGAGCTAGCTCTAGATTAAATTTCCATTTTATTATTCATGAAGTTGAACATGGCCTAATATTGAATGAAAATTCATACACACACACACACATACATTGAGAGAAAGAGAGAGAGAGAGAGAGAGAGAGAGAGAGAGAGAGAGAGGAGAGAGAGAGAGAGAGGGAGGAGGAGGTCAGAGAGGCAGAGAGACAGATAGAGTCAGAACATGAATTGCCTGTTCCATCTATAGTTCATGGTACATGCATCATGATGCTTTTTATTGAAAATAAGATAAATTCCAACTCAGCATAGAAAAATGGAAGTGTATTAATAAGGATGTTCTTTTCCTTTTATTTTTCAAATTTAGATACAATATTTGGGCAGTTCATATTACAATAATTTGTTGTATCTACATTCGTCTGTGTTTTTAGATGTTGGAAAATTTGCACCACCTTCCTCATTAGTTTAGATATAGCACACATTGTTGTCAACAGTTGTTGCTCTACTGTGCTACAGAAACCAGAATGAATCCAGCCTAGCGTTGTTTTGGTACCCTTATCTGTTTCTCTCTGCTTGTTCCTCTCTGCCCTCTCCCAGTCGTTAGTGACTACTGTTCCACCTCATTCTTCCACGAGATTAGCTTTCTAGCTTTTACAAGTAAGTGAGAATATGTGATGTTTGCTTTTGTGTGTCTGGGTTATTTGGCTTAACAGAGACCTCTGGTTCCGTCCATACTGCTGCAAACGAAGGGATTTCACCCCCTTTTACAGCAGAATAAAGTTGTAGTGTGTATGCATACCAGGCATCTGCTGATGGTCACTGTGGTTGATGGTAGCTGTTATGGAGTGTTGAGGCAAAGGCTGATCTGCAAAAAATGAGTAGAAGAAGTTCATCTCCTTTACATAGAGAAAAGCAGTATTCTCTTTCCTCCGAAGAGTCCTGAAATCTCTAATATGTTATATTTGTCATAAACGTTACAAAATTTTCCCACTCTATGAAATTTTTTATCCACCATATGTATAGTGTCCCTTCTCTACAGATGTTTAAAATGTTAGGGTGTCAAATTTACTAAACCTGTTCTTTATTATGTTTACATCTTCTTTTTAATTCCCCAGACAGTAACATTTATTCACCTATATCTCTTTTCTGTACATTCTTTGTAACATTTATCATTTTTAAGTATTTGATCAGTCTTCATCTTTTCTGATCTAAGAAATAGGATACAGAGCTAGAGTTGCTAATTTTCTTCCCAGGAGGATGGCTGATTGTTCTAATGCAATCTGAATGAGCTTCTGTGTAAGATACTCAGAGCAAGAGTCCTAGGCAAGCATAAGCAAACACATAGTCAGTGATAGAGGATATGGTCTGGCTTCCAGTCCCAGCTCAGAGTTATCGCCTGTGCAATGTACAGCAAATCTCTCAACCAAGCTGAAACTTTGTTTCCTAATTTTAAAAGGAAGTTACTGGAAGAGATGCGATCTGAAAACATTCCCTGCTCTGAATGCATGCGTGATTATGTTTGCCTTAGCTGTAAATTAAGAAAATGCCTGAAGAGAAATGCTAGAATCGGCTTAGCCAATGTATTTGCTTGGGTTCATGTGTAATTTTCTATTTTTTAAAGCTGTCACTCACCACACTAAGGATCATATTGTCTCACTTTACTCCAGCCTAGCGTGTGCATGGCCAGCGGACCTGGACAAGATATGGTTGAGAGCACACACATTATAGGACGGATCATCTATCAGAAAGCCAAGGTAGGCACAAGCCCAGCGCTGTACAGCTTTGTTTCATGTTGTTCTTAAAAACCCACAGACATCATTTAGTCGGAAGTCCATAATTGCAAGGAAGGCCATGAGCACTCAGGCTGGCCAGGAAGTCTGAAAGACTTTGGTTTGTGAGGTTGCCCTTGGGAGCCATGGAGGACTCTGTCTGATCTGGTTAGACTTCCTAGTGCATTTAAAACCAATCAGACAGGAAAGTGTTCTATTTTAGGATGCTAGAAACCCGGAGTGCATAGCACAGGATGAGGAGACAAATAGACTCTAAAGGTTCAGTTAATGTGGCCCGACTCTGAACCAGTCTCATCTAGATTCTCGGAAATCTCTCCAGTCATTGCTTGGCTAAAGTCATCTGGTTACTTCTGAACTAGGCCTGCCATGACAAAGCTGAGCTGAACATCTCAGTCACTATGAGTTCCCTTTAGTTTATAGACTTCTTTGAAAGGCCAAAGGTTATACTACTTTTCTTTTAAAATAAAACAAAACAAACAAAACACTTTTGCTGAAGGAGGTATTCAGTTTGTGATGAGCTTTCTATGAATGACTCTGCTTTCCCCTTGCTCCTAAACTTGCTTTCATGTATGTGGTATGTATGTATAGGTGTGTGCTTGCTTTCATGTTTGTGGTATATGTATGTATAGGTGTGTACTTGCTTTCATGTATGTGGTGTATGTACGTATAGGCGTGTAC